GCCTCACTGTTGTTGGAACCCACTGGGCTTCCCCTGGGTCCTAGTGCCCTTGGTTCCAGTCATTTTTGACAGGAACCAAGAGCAGAGAAATATTAATTTTCTACATTTTTTTAGGGGCTCCACGGGCCAGATAGAATGGCCTCGCGGGCCAGATCTGGCCTGCGGGCTGTATTTTGCTCACCCCTGACATAGAACATCCTTTTGGATCTAGACTTGCTGCCTATTGCACCCTTAGTAGAATGTGAGGTGTTGGTTTTGACCTACAAAGGCCACAGTGCCTGAGACTTTCTTATCTGGAAAACCATCTCTCTCCCTGAGCCATACTTTCACAACAGAGATCAGCAAGGACGCATGAACTAAAACCCCACTAATATAAGAGAGGGAATAGCAGTCTGGACATTTTTTTTAGCACCCATCAGCTTAAGCATGTAACCCAAACCTAAACGCATTGCAGAACGGGGGGCACAGTACTTGGTTTTGCATATGTAAACTTGAAAATAGTATTCTTATATATTCTATGCCTAAAAAGAGGTTTGGGGGTGTACACATATTGGCCATGATCCAGCAATGAGGATCCTGCCTGCACACAACTCATTTCTTGCCAGAGTATGTTATAATATAGTCCAGGCACAATTGTGTTATAAATAGATTCCATCCTATGGTTGCTATTATATAGCCAGCACCTCATCAGGAGTTATTTCAAACTCTGCTTTGTCTCAATTTTAGCCTACAAACAGTTGAAGAAATAGGGAGATAGAGCAGTCCTTTAATCAGCTTTAAGCCATCACGTTGCAATAGAAGGAACTCATAAAAACTAAGTAAAGACATTCAAAAAACCCGAGCCTGAATTGATTCAATCTTTGCAGGTTAGTCTAACCTGTATAGACTGAACTGACCAGCAAGTGAATAGACATTCACTTTTGATTCCAGAAACATAGGCATATACCCTCAGTGGCTCAGGCTAGAAGCTGAGGGGTGCTAAAGTGAACCCTTCCTTCCCTTCAGGCTGGAGGGAAGCTGAGCTGAGGGGGTGTGGCCAGGCTCCAACAGGCTGAGTATGACTGGGGAGGGGATTAAACCCCCACCATGGCCTGCAGGGATCCCAGCCAGGGTCTGCCCAGCTTTCCCCCCCTGCTTATGGCTCAGCACGGCCCAGGACCCCCCGGAGCCCTGATTCCAGGCAGGGTGTGATCCCAGTGCACCTTGCTGGGCACTAGGGCCAGGGTTTCACA